GCTGCAGCAGACGTTGCCACAGGTAGCGAATACTGACAAGGCACAGAGCCCTGCAGTTCCCAAGTATCGCCACGAAATGTGCTCCCTTGTGCAAGACCTCGGAGGCCCAAATCTGTGGTTGAACTAGATGCTTTCTAAATTATTCATGTGCTAGCACCGCTCCAGCAAAATTGGTTAAATGCATAGTTAATTCCAAAACACTTTCATTGGAATATTTGAGGTGGGGAAGCAAACCAAGAGCTGCCTGAGTGATCTTCTACTTCACAGTGAGCTGAATGACTAGACCGGCATGTGCCAAGATGATGCTCTTGCACAACACTGAGGGAAGGAAAAAATGATGCAAGTAAGGTTGTGTTGGTCCCAAAAATTGACGCTTTGCTTGTCTAAATTGGCTGCTCACCTGGAGCATCCCACAGTCCTTCAGTCAGCTTTGGAGTTAGCTTTTGAAGTCATGAAATCATCTTTCCATGTCACTGAGAAGTTATTCCTTCAGTTTTCTTTGTCCAGTGTTGCCCTAATTCAGTTTTTTGCAAAGAAAACACAGTATAAATCAAATGTAATTTCACTGCATTTATTTTCAATTTGTTGGATTTTTATGTTTTCTGGTGGCTGTGCTGCTGGCATGGCAACGCTGTTGTGCAAGCTTGGAAAATAAAAAAGCCTGAGTTATCAGTGTTATTATAAATAGTTATTAAAGCTGACAGGATTTAAAATGTTGTTATTAACATTCTTAATGTTAACTTGAAGGTAGAGTGAGAGAATAAAATGTGGCTCTGGCTGTCTGGCAGCTGGTGGGAGCTCCCTGCAGGACCGTCCATAGTTGGAGCTCTGTTATCCTTCCTCAGCTATTCCTTGCTTTGGGAAGGAGGGGAAAAAGAAGCTGGTTGCTTCTCTGAACTTTATCTGCTTGCACAGATCGGTTTTTCTTGAGTTTTCGTGGTTTTGTGGTAGGCTGTTAACAAGACATTTCACTTGATAGGCGTGTGCTTTAATGGTGAAGTTTCTACCAGACATGTTCATCCAAATGCAGTTGCCAAAGGCTGAGGACATAGGGTAAACTCTTTC